TGGTCCTCTCGTCTGCAAAGACAACAATGTGGACTACCTTTGGCTTGTTGGGGTGACCACCTCGGGGAGAGGCTGTGCCAGAGCCAAACTTCCCTTAGTCTACACCTCCACCCAGCACTTCTACGACTGGATCCTGCTCCAGATGGGACTGCGCCCAGCACCTTTGGCTACTACAACACTAGAACCAGTCTTCACATCAACCCCCTATCAGAGGCCAAGGCCATGGCCAATACCTGCCCAATCGGGCAGGTTTACACCGTGTCCATTTCCATGGCAGAAGCTGGTGCAATTCTGTAGTCTGCTGCGGGAGTTCCTGCAGGTCCTAAGGGGCAAGAAGGCTTGAGCAGCGGGACGAACAGGCTCCGCAGCAGACGGCACTGTTCCATGACCGTTACCTTCTGGGGCAATGCCTGCTGAGCCAAAGGCAGCCTCGGCACCAAGGCCCGCTCTGTCCTGCCCGCGCTCCTCTGAGCGCAGAATTGCTCATGTTGAATTAGTTGTTGAATAAAGTTCTTGATTTTCACAGCTAAGCATGCTTGAGTCCAATTCGGTCTTTGGTGCAAGGCAAGGACTTGCATGCCCGGCGAAAAAAAAATGCAGGCAGACAGCAGGGCACAAAGGGAAATAGTCGCTCTCAGGGGCTGAAACCGATCCCGGTCAGAGAGGAGTCTGGGGGGCAGTGGAAGAACGGAACATGGGTCATAGGGGGCTCTAGGTCTTGGGGCAGCGTTTGGGAATAAGTGTCTTAGGCCAGCTACTGGTGGGATCCCTCTGTGTGTGTTTGTGTACAGTGCAGCAGTGGACTGTCTCATGACCCAGGGGACACAGACATAGAAAGACCCAAAGTTTGCACCAATGGCTGCATAAGAGCTTGGCATCCAGCCACAGCTATTAAATGGGCTTAATTTCCACTTTGTTATTTGAGGACTCTATGAACATGTTGTGCTTATGAATCTGGGGAGTGAAGGTGTGTTTATATTTCACTAGTAACTACCCTGTCCTGGTCATCTGGAAAGCAGAAAAGGACTGGACTGCATTCATATGTATGCACATGGTGGTTACGTACACATGGGTGCTGGTAAAGGCATTGCTCTGCCCATGTCCATCTGTTTTGCTGCTCACAGTAGTTGTGTAAGTCTGTGTGTGTTTGTGTATCTGGCTCTTTGGAACGCAGCGCGAGTCTTGAACAGACACATGGGAACAGCAGCAGCTGCGTCCATCGGGCTGGGGTAGGACGAGCCTCCTAGGTGTGCGAGTGCACCTGATTCTGCTCTAGCAGACCTGAAAGGAGAAATCCCCCATGTTCAGAAGTCTACTGGAGCTGGCTGCTTCTGTCACTGAACGGGGAACGACACCCAAAGAAACTGTGCAGCAGAGCTCACCGGGGTGGACAAGAGAGGTAGCACTGGCCAGGCTGTGGAAGCAGTAGGGAGGGCTGGCTGTTGGACTTGCGCTGTAGAATAACTGGGCTGCCTCATCACAAAAGTGCAGGAAGGATACAAGCTCAAAGCTTTAGAAAAAAAGTTCTTTAGTGTTTTTTTTGCTCCATTAGGTACCATTCAAGTGTCTGGGCAGGACCCTTTCCCCCAGATCCAATGGTGGCTTAGCTCTCCTGGCAAGCTCTGCCTTGAAGAAGCATGCAGTAAGTAGCATCCATGTGGACATTCTCACCCTTTCCTTGACTGTGATGTGCAGTGGCTAGAGCTCAGTCAAGGAAGGTTGTGCCCAGACAGCCTCCCACGAGAAGGGGAGAGGCCTTGCTGCCCATCACCAGAGCTCTTGGGGCACAAGAAACATCGCTTTCCTCTGTGAAGGCCAGTTCTAACTAGTACCAGAAATCTAGAGCCAAGGGGAAAAACAGATTTGGGGTCCAGGGCTTAGGCAGATGGGAGCTTCTCTTCAGGGCAGCTCTCCTCTTTATCGGACAAATCCTCACTCTTCTTCTGCAGGTCAAAGCTCTGGAAAGGAGGACAGGGAACTGCTGAGAAGCATGAGAGTAACAGCTACGCTCTGCTGTGGTTCTTTCAAATTCGGCCTAAGGCAGTGAGGGTTCTACAGTGTTACCACCTCACCCCTTCCGACCTAGATGCAAGTGGCACACAAACCCCATGGTGTCACCAACATAAGGCAAAGCCTTCCATGCCTGCCAAGTGTCACCCTTTGCCACATGCTCTGCTATCCCTGAGAGAAAAAAGAGCAGAGCTGCTAATCACTTAGGAGGAATGCAATAAGTAGAGCCTTTCTTACCTCCAGTTCTCGCATGACCTCGTCCATGAAATCTCCTGAATTCTGTTTGTAAGCAACTGCCAGTTTGATAGCATCACTGAAGAGCTGATGAGAAGGAGAATGCTTGTCACTCAAAGTAAGAGGCACTGGGTTTCTGTAACATATGGAAACTGTTCACACCCCTAAAAAAAACCCAAAACCCAACCAAACTCGGCAACTACCTATAGCTACCAGGACCTCACAAGTAGCCCAACAGATGTACTAGCCCATTTTCTGCTCTCTGTGCCTACAGCAGTCTCCATGTCCTTGGACTGTATAGGGATTTCATGGATGCTGAGCCAAATAGCTGTGTTTTACCTTCACTACATTGGTGCCATCTGCAGCAGACACAAAGTAAAAGGGCAAACTGAACTTCCGGGCAAAGTTGAAGCTTTTCTGGGTCACCTTGATGTCCGCTGGGGGCAAAAAAAAAGGAGAGGTGGTCAGTAAGACATCGCTGTAGGCAGAATGCCAACATACGCAGGAGTGGTGGAACAGATGCAGACCAGAGCCAGATTTAGCTGTCAAGGCCTCCTCAGTGTAGTACAAAGCTAGGAGAGTCCTCCCCGAAAGTTATAGGGTTTTAAAAGCAACAGCATCAGCAAACCATTGACAAGACACAAAAAGAAAAGAGTTGTTGGTTTATTGATGGTGATTGACTAAACTATAGATGGATGCTGATGTGCTATAAACGAATAATGCTTTGTGGCTTAGAATATATCACTTGCTCTGCGGCAACTATGAATGTTTTCCAGGCACACCCCTGTGATTTTTGCTGTGTGCCCACGTGGCCTGAACGCCACTGCCAGTACTAGCCATGCCCCTCCCTCCAGTTTGGCCTTTTTAACCAGAACTCCCCACTGCCCTTATGCCATGTTACCTGTATTCCTGTGAGTCAAGGGCATGCTCACAGTGTACAAATGACTCAACTGTTATATATTTTTACTTAACAGGCAGTTAGGCTGAGCTACCTCAACCTCAGCAGGCCAGAGCATTTATTTTGGAACAAATCTACTGCATATTTACAGGGGGTGCTGACCTAGCAGTAACACCACAGTTTTGATAAACAGACAGCCTGTATGCCAGCACAGGAGAATGACTCCAGATGATCCGCCTTTTGTCATAGAAGCAACAGCTGAAGTAGTTCAGTGTCAAAACACTCACCAGCGAGCACTGCCCAAGCAGCTGCTCCCTACCGCTTTGCAGGAAGACAGATCAACCATTCTGCAGGCTGGGCCTGTGTTAAGAGCTCTGGGCTGATCACTTACTAGTCCGGCTGGAATACAGCAAATGAAGGCAAGACAGAGGACTCTCTTGGAACAGTGTCCGCTCTCACATACAGCACTAAGAGCAGGATTCATCTACACAGAGGTTCTGTCTACAATATGGCTGTCAAGACCAGGTCAATTTGCCTCGGACTTCCTGTACAGTCTGTGCAACCAGTGGATTCAAGGATGGCTTGACACATCCTATTGGAAAAGCTTTTATTAGGTAAGATCAATCATGCCCTAAACCACACCACTCAACCCAATGCTCTTCCGTAAGCTACAGTGGGAGCCCAGACACATTATTCAGGTACAGACACTGATTCATAGCTGTGATGATCTTCAAGGTCCTTTCCAACTTAAACCATTCTATGATTCTATGATTCTATGATTTCTACCATGAATGTCAGCAAGGAAGCCCATGTCTGACACTGTACTTGATAGAGAATAGCAGGAGAACGTGGTGCTAAGAGTATGTGTTCTCTCATTGATGCTGAGCAGAAAGCTGATGCGTTATGCACTCTCACAGGATGCTGGAGTCAGATCACAACCCCAATGACAGCAATAGTGAGTGCCTAGCTGGCATTCCTAAGAGGAGGGAATCACCCAGTCGCCTGCAAAGGAAGGTGAACCGTGTACCAGCAGGTACATTTAGACACTTAAGCACTGAGGAGTCTCACGGAAACCTGCAGGCTGAATTAGCAAGACAAAGGCAGTTTGTCAGGGGATTTATCAGGGGAAGACACGTAATAAGTTACGCTTTTTCCAGCAAGACATCCTGCAATTTCTGACTAAGTACTGGTCCAATCAGCTTTTGGGTTTGCTGGATGAAATGGGCAGCATGGTAAAGACAGAAATGGAAGGACATAACTTCAATAAACTTTAAGTGGATCCAATTTGCATTTTTAATTGCTAGTCAAACAAGGACAAGAGCCTATAAGACAGCATGCAAGGTCAGTACAGGACCCAGCTATTCCTTTGGTAAAACACAGTCCTGAGCGACTAATACTCAAGAACTCATCTGGACCTAACCGATGAATAACATTCGTTCTCAGCCAGGTCAGGAGAGAATCACATGACAATCCTGAGAGGTTGAAAGAAGAAGATATACTCACCATCAATTTTGTTGGCCACCACAATGCACGGAATCTCTGGACGGAATTCTCTCAGTTCCTTGTACCAGCTGTTTAAGTTCTTGTAGGTGACTTTCCGCTGCACGTCAAACACCTTCCAAAAAAGAATACAGCAAGCACAAGTACAGAATCCAGAATTTTCCCAGGAGGACAGCAACAAAGGAAACTGGCCTTTGTTAGAAAGGAAGAAAGAGAAAAGGGAGAATATGCAGCAAGCCTTGAAACATGCAGCCAGCCTGTTTCTTTGCATGATGCACAAAACAGTCCTTCGTTTTCCTTTACATTCTTATTTTGTACTACGACAAGCACTTTATCACCCATGACAGTGAACAAGCACTGTGAAAGATCTGGGTAAGAATTGAGGCTTCTCTATTTTAACAATTAAAATATCAATGAAGTTGACTGATGCTTACAAGTGATGAGAAGTAGTGGAAAGCTAGGGCAACAGTACAAATCAAGAGACCCAAGCGGGTCAGGAGTCAGGAAATAAGATTGATTTGAGCTACTACATAGGAAATGCAAAGTATAGGAAAATAGAAAGGGCAGAAGACCAGAGAAGAATGTCTTAGTTAGTACCCCTGCAGAACATGTCAGAACAGTTTTGTACTATATAATCCTCCAATAGTCACATCACAGAACAAGAAAGGAATGCCCTCTCACTCGCATCACCTCTGACAGGACTGCTTCTAAATGAGTACATTCAGTTGTACGTACCACCTTACTGGAAACACAGTGACAAAAGTAAGAAAATTTAGAAGACAGCAAAGCCAGGGAATATAGTAAGAGTGCTATCAGGAAAGGCAGAAGAGAGCTAAACATACCCAACTACACTGGTTTAATCTGGTGAGAAAAGAAAGAACGATATAGGAAAGTTTTTTAAACCACTAGAAGAGACAAGAAATAGAAGGCAGCATAATCATAAAAAGTAACATACAGGCCAAGTGTCAACTGGGACTGTTATTAGTCAAAATTCCATCAGATCACAGCTGAGACACTACCCTTACCATGATACAAGCATGAGCCTTATGGTAATAAGATGCATGCATGCTCTGGAACCTTTCCTGTCCAGCTGTGTCCCAGAAGTCTGTAAGACACAAAAAAACAAGCTTAGAATGACACAACTTTCCAAGTTCCGGCTTCCACAACTTAAACCCAGGACGCAAAGCCCAGTCCATCTGCTCAGGGTCACGAATTAGGTTTTACCTCACTAATCTGAAACATTCCAGGGCTAAGACATTATGCAAAACTAGGACCTTTTCTTAGCTAGGCTTAGCTATGAGTTGTGCTGATACTGAACATTGCTATCAACATCTTAGCAAAAGAGAAGTCATCAGTGACATGACTTATAAGGGACAATAAGACAAAGCTAGTCAAAAGTGTAAAGAGTGATAACAATGCATGGTACTTTGTCACTAGAGATGACAACAGGAAACAAAAGCTAAACATCTTGAAACAGCTTGATTTCTGACACAGCGATAAATAGCCAGGTGCCTGTCATGGGAAATGTTCCATCTCCTTTTGCAGTCTAACACTGCTTTTTCCAGGGGCATGACTCATTCTAAAGTTATGAAGGGTAAGTAAGTTAGCCTGAGACAGACAGGTCCCAATTCATTAAGTACCTTGTAGACTAGGTATCATGAAGAACACCTGAGCAGGCATCAACCTTTTAATGCCTTTTTCTGTTTGTGCGTCTCAGGTAGAGATCTCCCCCATTCCTCTTACTGGATTTATAGGCTAATATTTGTGTCTTATTTGTTGTATAAACTTACACAGCTTCAACTAAGAGCCACCAGATGTAGTTGTATCTCTGTGAGCTAGACTGAAGCACGCCACTCCACCTAAAGCCAAATAAGCCACTTTCCTTAGTGTTTACTTTGCATTAAAATTAGTTTCTGGCTGGATACTCTATCAGACTTGCAGGATGGTGACTTCTTAAACTGCCTGAAATATAGACAAGTACTCATCACAACACATTTGCGTTCATTTTGGGTAGTTTTGCTTAGCTTCTAAAACTTCCTGATCCTTTTAATGTGCCATCTCAGAATCCTCACTTACAAGGAAAAAAGAGGTGCCAGTGACCACGACTTACTGAATGTCCCTAAATTAACTTCCCAAACAATGCAGCAGCTCTCATGAGAGAATTTGCCATGGCCTGCTGAAAAACACTGCTGCTTTTATTACTAAATCCTCCAGATCTTGCCTGTCATACCCCATGTCACTCCAGAATATAGGAGTTTATCAACCTTAAAATCCTTAGGAAAAATAAGATTCACAGAGTAAAGAAATACACCACACTTTAATGCAGTCCTAACTCACCATATGGAATTTGGCGATGGTCACTAAAAATAGCTCAGTAGAGTAAAAATTAAGCTAGCAAGAGAAGTGGCAATTCAGCACAATTTAAAGTCTTCAGATCAAACTACCTGCCTTTACAAATCACACTTCATGACAAGTCTTCTCTGCACGGTAGCTTAGATGATCAGCATTATGTTCATAAAAGGTGAAGACAGAATACACTGTGAATTCTTGTCTAACATAGGCCAGATGAAATACTTAAACTAGAGCAAGGTACTTAATAAAATCCTAAATCCATGTTAAAAATAAGTTCCTGACATATGAATCCATAGTTGTGCAAGTTGCCTTAATACTAATATTACTTCCTGGTTAAAAAAAAACAAACCAACCACCTTATCTTTTATTTGAGTTTACCTAACATCAGCTAGAGTCTGTTAAATATTTCTTGCTATGCTGAAGCCTCCTTTGGTACCAAGTTCCTGTCCTCTGATGGTTTGCCTTCTCCCTGAGAAGCTAATCAGACTGAGTCTCTCATCATTAGGTCTCTTTTTACCACATTTCAATTGTTCTCATGGCTCTTCTCTGAAACCTTGTATTGGGTTTAAGTGGAGAGGTTTTTGTAAGGGGGGAGGCTGCAGGGGTGGCGTCTGTGAGAAGGCACCAGAAGCTGACCCCATGTCAGACAGAGCCAGTTTCAGTCAGCTCCAAGACAGACCCACCTCTGGCTGAATCACATCCAATCTGAGACATCGGTGAGAACATCTTTAAGAAGGGGTAAAAAATGCTATGCAGCAGCTCTACAGAGGGGAGTGAGAAAATGTGACAGAAACAATTCTGCAGACACCAAGGTAAGTAAAGAAGGAGGGGGAGGAGGTGCTCCAGGTGTGGAGCAGAGATTCCCCTGCAGCCCATGGGGAAGACCATGGTGACACAGGTGGTCCTGCTGTGTCCAGGTGTCCTCAACCCGGAGGACCGTGGTGGAGCAGATGTCCACACTGCAGCCTGGGGAAGAACACATGCCACAGCAGGTGGATGTGCCCTGAAGGAAGCTGCACCCCATGAAAAGCCCACACTGGAACAGGCTCCTGACAAGAACTATGGCCTGTGGAGAGCAGCCCATGCAAGGAGCAGGTTTTCTGGCAGGACCTGTGGCCCATGGCAGACCCATGCTGGAGCAGTCCGTTCCTGAAGGACTGTACCAAATGGAAAGGACCCATGCTGGAGAACTTTGTGAAGGACTGTATCCCATGGGAGGGACTCCATGCTGGAGCAGAGGATGAGTGTGAGGAGGAAGGAGCAGCACAGGTAAAGTGCTATGAACTGAGAGTAATCCACATTCCCTATTCCCCTGCAGCGCTTGGGGGAAGGGGGAGGAGGAGGTAGAAGATTTAGCAGTGAAGTTGAGCCTAGAAGTAAAGGAAGGATGATGGAGGGGAGGTGGTTTTAGTTTTGTTCTACTTCTCACTATCCTACCCTGTTACAATTAATTGTCAATAAATGAAATTCATTTCATCAAGTCAAGTCTGTTTTGCTCATAATGGTAACTGCTTGACCCATGAGCTTTTTCATCATATTTTCTCCCGCCACCCTCTTGAGAAGCGATAGAGTGGCTTGGTGGGCACCTGGTGGTCAGACGAGGTCAACCCATCACAAACCTCCACCATTTTTCAATGCTTTTACTGAATCACAGAAATAAGAATTAGACACAGTCTTGCTGTAGTGGTTTCAAAAAGGAGCCTTAGTGTAATGTTTCAAAATTGGGATAGCTATAAAATCTCTGAAATTAATATTCCAATTTGATATCCAAAGATTACCTTAGCTGTTCAGAATACAGCCCTCTTTTGAAGGTCATAATCAGCAAAGCACTGTTCATCATCTTTCTTGCCTCGCAGGATGGTTTCTAATTCTCCCTATGAACTTATGTGGAACCATATTCAAAAACATCCCAGTTTACCTGTATTAGTTTATTATTGAAACCATTGTTACTAACTAGGTTAGGAACAACGCAATCAGCAAAACAGGTGGGTAATTCTTTGGTATATTACAGATAATAGTTATTTAAGAATTGCAACATTTCCTCACTCAAAGTGATGACGTACACTGACAAAACTCTGATGAAGAACCATCTCTACATTCGTAAAATGTATTGCAAACATGGACCAACTGAACAGAATTCAGAAGAACCATAAAGAATGACAAGAGATCTAGAAAACATGCCCTATGAGAAAAGGCAGAATAAAGTGAGGTTGTTTACCCTAAAAGAGAGAAGAAATAGAATCACAAAATGGTTTGGGTTGGAAGCTACCTTTAAAGATCATCTAGTCCACCCCCCTGCTACAGGCAGGGACATGTCTCACTAGATCAGGTTGCTCAAAGCACCATATAACCTGACCTTGAACACTTCCAGGGATGAGGCCTCCACAACTCCTTTGGGTACCCTGTTCCAGTGGTTCCTGAGTGTCACAACCCTCAGCATAAAACATTTCTTCCTTACATCAAATCTAAACCTGCCCACTTTCATTTTAAAACTGTTGTCCCTTGTCCTGTTACTATAGGCCCTGGTAAAAAGTCTTTCTCCATCTTTCTTATAAGCCCCCTTTATATATTGAAAGCCTGCCATAAGGCCTCCCCAGAGCCTTCTCTTCTCCAGGCTGAACAACCCCAACTCTCTCAGCCTCTCTTCATAGCAGAGGTGTTCCAGCCCTCTAATAGATTTCGTGAACCCGCTCTAACAGGTCCATGTCTTTCTTGTACTGGGGATCCCAGAAATGGATGCAGTACTCCAGGTGGGGTCTCGGGCAGCGCAGAGGAGGAAAATTGCCTCCCTCGACTTGCTGGCCATGCTTCTTTTTATGCAGCCTAGGATCAATTTGCTTTCTGGGCTGCAAGACGATATTGTTGGCTCATGTCTAATTTTTCATTCGCCAATAAAGGGGAAAGGTACAGTGTTCAAACAGGTAGAAAGCTGGTGCAAGCAAGAAGGGGAAAAACTTGTTCAGTGTCCAGGAAACACAGGAAATAACTTCAATATTCCTTCAATAAAGAAGATTTGCATTAAGTATCAAGAAAGAAAGATTTTCTAGCAGTAAGAACACAGATATGTTGGAATAAATGGCCTAAGCAGTCTTTGCCATTGAAAGTCTTTAAATACATTTTATATATCTATATCTATATACCTATATCAGTGAAGAGTATTATTAAGTAAAGTTTATCCTGTGCAAAGATGGCAAGATGACCTCTCACAGTCCCTTCCAGAACTGCAATACTCTGAACACACAGAAATTGTAGTGATACAGGCAGCAGTACAGAATATCAACTCAGATAACAGAATAAGACAATGTTTTTCTTGAACTTCCATCTGTAACACACAGTGAGCAATACTGTGCTGTCAGAGGTTAACTCACATAGGTTAAAGCAATGCTCCATTGGCATAAAAAAACCCCAGAAAGTTAGCATTTGTGATAAAACTGAAGTTATGGGATATTTGAGAGTATGACTGATAAACAGATGACTGATAAAACTAGGATACTTGTAGTCTATCAAAACAGCACCATCGCTGTTTCCCTCTCGTCCCCTTGTTCCCCGAACTCCCCACTTACCAACGAGGACCGTCTGCCCATCCACCCGAGCACGGTGCTTGTAGAGCGTCAGGGCGAAGGTGGAGAGCTGCTGGGGGCGGCTGCGCCCGTGTTAAGGAGCCGACGGAGGAGCACGTTCCCCGACACCGCAGCGACCGCCGGCGCCGGGCCGGCACCCCCTCCCCACG